GAGGAAAGGCGATCCCGTGAGGAAAAATGAAGACTATTGAAGGAAGAAAGAAGATGCCAGGAGCGACTTCAGGAACAGGAGCAGAGACGACAAGTGAAGGGAAGAAGACGTCAGGAGAGGCAACAAGAAGAACAAAGAAGACGTCACGCCATTTCATGTTTACCCTCTCGCCTGTTCTCTTCTTTCTTTGCCTTTGATATAGCCTCTATAGTGAAGACAGCCTTTCAATCAAACCTAGAACTATTACTCGGACATCACCATACAGGAAACAAAATGTTTTGTGTGTGTGGATCATGTGATGAGTAGGTGGCAATGAGGAGGGACGACATTATAGAATGATTGTGTGGTTAGAGTTGCAGGGTGTCGTCAGAAAGTAATGGCAATATAGTGGCATTGGAAGAATGTTAGAGTGAGGGTGTTATTGAAGATGATGTGGTGGAGGAATAGATGGTTGGTGGTATGTAGAAGAATCACAAAATAACGTTGTAGGGAGGAATGACAGGGAGATGGTGTAGTGGTGGAGTCGCATGGTAACTGTGTACCATTTTCTGTTTTTTCTCTGAAAATTATAATTTCACGTGATCTGATTCCAAGAGTAATCATTTTACATATTCTCGTTGAAAAAAATCGATTGGAATTTTTCTTTAGTGAAAGGTGGACGATTGTTTTAATCGATTAATCCCGCCTCTACAATGGTGCATGTGCACAAAAAGAGCTCTGTGCTCACCTGTGCCGTCAAAGCTGTGCATGAGCTCGTGAGCGATCATGTGTCCAATGCCAGCGAAGTTGATGTAATGGGGACGTCGTCGCCATAGAAGAGCGGCGGCGCCATGGCACCGTACGGGATCACTGCAAGGGAAGCTCCAGTCAGACAATGGCCGGAAATGAGAACACTGTACGCGTCTTTGCTCGCAATATGTGAACGCTATCTAGTGATTTATGCAATTCTATATGCATAATTTGTTGAACACAGTTTAGTTTATCATATCTTGTTATTTTATGCAAAAGGAGAGTAGTTAAAACTCACAGAATTTGTTCATGGCGTAGACGTAGGTACCGTAACTTTTGTAAGGTTGAAGGAACTGACTCCACCTGCAACAAGATAGGTGATTAAAGCACGAACGGCCCTATTTTCCAGGCGCTCTGGGTAAGAACTGACCTTGAAGGCTGGCCTTGCTTCTAAACGCATCCAATGACAAGCACACGTGCTGAACCAAAGTTCGAATTTGTGTGGTAGAATTGACAAAGGTGTTTTGTGCAGCTAACTTACTGTCTTCACTTCGATGAATTGTGGATATATTACTCACAAAATCCTTTGGCAACCAATGGAATGAAAGGTCAAGTATCAGTCAAATTGGATATCCATTGAAAACTGTTGTCGAAAATTAACGGTAGATAAAGCAATAAACAAGTCAAAATATTAAGCATATAAATAGGTCTATATACAGAGAGAGAGATATGTGTGGTGTGTGTGTGCACTCGAAGGCATATTCCAAAATCACATAAAAAAATAATGATTATTAACCATACTACTTTACTGAAAATGATTATGCTAATAGTTTTCAGGACAATAATTTTGGTGATAATGATAATAAAAGTAATAGAAATGATAAAAATGAAATAGAAAATATGGCAATGATGGCAATAATTATACCAATGATAATGATATTAAGCATATAATAAAAACAATCAAAACCATAATCATAGCAGCATACCCATCTGCGCAGCAACTTACATAACTTCCGGATTGGAGGGACCTCTTGTATACATACTGTATAAGTGAGATCTGTACCGCAGCAGGAGTGTCCGGCAGTCTTCAATGAAGTTCCCAGTAATATTCACCTTCAAGAAAGATAAAACAGGTTTGTTATCGCTTTTAAAGATTTGGTAACAATGACGAGGGTTGGAGAAAAAAAAGGTGTGCACTAATCACACTTACCTTCATCATGATATGATGATGATTATTATGGTAATGGTGACAATATGAAAATATTCATATTACGATTTTTTTATTATCTTTATTATTTATTGCCAATATTTTTTGAAACGATAACAAGAATAACGATAATTCAAATATTCAAACATCATGATATCTGTTGCCGTTATTATCAGCATCATCATTATTATCATCACTACCATTGTAATCATTATTATTATCATTTTATCATTACTTTCATCATTAGTAGTAGTATCACATTTAACATTAGACTAATTACTACTAGCGTTGTCATTGATGTTCTTGATATCATTATAATCATTAATATTATCATTATTATTATTATCTGATTATTATTATCACTATTATTATTATTATCATTATTATCATTATGATTACTGATATCATCATTGTTTTTTATTACCAATATTCTTATTAACATCGTCGTTTTATCATTATCATTATTTATATTACTATCGGTATCAACATCATTATTGTTTCATTATTATTACCTTTACCAAGGACGTTATGTTTATGGAAGCGTGAGTTTGTTGGTTGGTTTAGCAGGATAACTCGAAAAGTTAAACAGATTTTAATGAATTTATTGCCAGAGGTGTGTCTTAGCCCAATTTAGATGTCATTAAATGATCTGAATCCAGGATTTTGTAAGATAAATCAGTTACCCCTATTGCCTTGGCGGAGGTATGCGCCCTCTGAGTGCTTCTAGTTGTAATCATTATTATTATAATTATTATTATCCTCATTATCAATAATTATTTTATATCATTATTACGTATATTATCATTATCGTTATTACTATATTATTATTACGTATATTATCATTTCGTTATTACTGTTCTTATTCCCATGCTTATCGTTAATTTCATCAATTTTGATGTTATTACTATTACCATTGTCATTTTACCATTATTAATATAATTAAGATGGTGATGATTATTATTATAACTAGTAGTTTATTGTTATTATTATTATTATTATTATTATTATTACTATAATTAGTATTGCCATTATCATTAATATTATGACAAAAATGGAAAATTCTAATGATTATTATTTCCATTATTATTATTATTATTTATTACTATTATTATTATTGGTGTTATTATTATTACTGTTATATTACTAATACTGTTATTATTGTTATCATAATTACTATCATCAGTATTATCATTACCATTAATACTACTATTATTATTAACATTATTATCATTATTTTTATTATTAGTAGTAATATTATTATTATTATCTCTATCATTATTGTCATTTTCATTTCATTATTTTAGCATCCTCTTTATTATTATTATTATCATTAATGTTATAATTATTATTGTTATTATCACTGGTTATTACATTGTTCTTGTCATCATTATTATCATTAATACCACTGTTATCTTTTTAGAATAATATAACTGTTGGTACAATCATTATCGCCATTTTTGTCATTACTACTGTTAAATTGTTATCCCAATTATCATAAAATCATCATTATTATGTTATGTAATATCAATTTTCTTCATACAGAGAAGCAGAGACTAGAGTCTATGCAACGCTGATGTTCTTCATTTTAGATTCAAATTGCCTCATGCTATCTTACCCCCATCATGCTCTGTGCCAGGACGTTTCTTGAGGTCTGGAGGTCCATCGTCTCGCCGGTCATTTTGCGCAGCTTCTCGACGAGCAAGTTGCTGGCGAGGAAGGATGCGCTCGAAGGAGTTGCTCTTCGGCCGTCTTCTTCGTCAGTCGGACCATCGTGTTGATCTGCGAAGGTTCAGTGCAATGTTAAAATGACATCGGTGAGCCTGGATTCTCGAGTGGAGGGTCGAAGGACGATGTTCTAGTTGCAACAATCAGTTTTGCAGTAAATGTCCTTATTTTTGCTTTGACTTGCTTGATCGTCCGCCTCTACATGTATGCAGAGGCAAATAAAGAGAGAAACCCCCAGTCTATGTTTCAGTCACTGATACAAGGAGGAATGGCCACGCCACCTGTTGCTGATACTCGTCGAGGCTGGTCCCAAGGCCTCCAGGTAGAGGTAAGACGAGAAGTCGTGCATGAGATTCTTGACGATGCGGAGGC